GTGTGATTTCACATGGTGTTTTTTTGGAAATATTGAGATATTTTTGGCCCGGGGCTTCGTACAAAAAATTTAATTGTTGTAATAGTTAGAAAACACATGCAGGAAGACGATTGACAGCTTAGATAGCATCAGACTTGTTTACAGTTTGTAAAATACACTCTTGAAGTCGACCAATTTTTTTTGAAAAATTTCTAAAAACGGGGACTTTCTGTTTTTTCGTCACGAATAAATAAAATCGATATATTTGAAGTAGTTTTTTTCACTAATACATCAAAAACACATGCCCACAAACATCCAAAATGAAAAAATCGCGAAAAAAACTATGAGTTTTGAAAAATTGAATTTTGAACACGAGGGTTATATAGCACCCCGCGCGCACAACTGTGCGTGAATCTTTGGCGCGCTTTACGCAGGGTTAAATTAACAAAAATATTAATTAACATGTTACATTTGTAAAACAACACGAAACACTTCCAATTCAGAATAATAATATCGATAGCATACATATTATACACTGACTGTGAGTGGTGTAACCATTCTCAACACAGAATATTATCTACAATATATAAGAATTAAGTTTACGTGCAAAAGTTCTTATAAGCAACATATCAAGGAACATTATAGATAATTTACACGTTTTCTTAAGAATAATTTTTATGAAATCTTAGAGTTAACCAATATTTAATATTTTTTATTCCTTTATTTTGTATAACCCACCACTTACAAGTGCATTAAGTCACAGGTTAAGTCCTACAGTTTAGCAATAGCTGGGCAAGTGGAGTTTATCCGGGTTTCTTCATGTTTTTCACTTATATACAGAAACCAGTTTTCCATACGAACTCCTTCTGAAAGTAATTCATTTTTGCTAGATCTGTACATGTGTTCAGCAGTTTTAAATTTATAAGAGAAAGGAAGCTTACTCCAATTATAAATGTTGAATGATTGGAGTATGTCGTGCAGATGATTGAAAACGTTTTCGTCACACGTCTTCGAGCCACGTGGTTCTTCCAGCAAAATCGGGAACAAAGCAAGTAATGTGGTATCTGAGTCCAGAAAATCACACTCTACCATATTTACTTATATGAGACGATTTACATGTATACATTTTTATTTTATTTTATTCGGCATATTGCTTGTACAGATTCTCCACGAGTTAGGTTACTTCATCGTATTAAATAAACCAATCATCCTTTCTATTTGTTTTCTGCCTGAAAATCTTTACTCTGAAAAAGAATTTAGCAAAAGCTTTTTGGCTGCCTCTAGTAGAGTTGTAACACTATTTATTTTATTTTATTCATTAGCTTAGCTCAAATTAGACAGTTACACGTAGGTGAATCAACTTTACAATAATATAATGTAATATTATCTAACAACTTTATTTATATTGAGAAATAACAGACGTCATAATTTTTATATTTGAAAACAAATATTAGTTTTTAGTGCAATTATAATTGTTGCATAAATGTATTTATAGAAATACCGTGTTTAATTTTCAGATATTTTTTAATAATCTTATTTGAAAACGAATATTAGTTTTTAGTGCAATTATAATTGTTGCATAAATGTATTTATAGAAATACCGTGTTTAATTTTCAGATATTTTTTAATAATCTTTTGTGAAATAATTTAAATTATTATCTTTTTAATAGTTTTTCAACAAGTAGAATTATAACAGAGATACTATATCCACACACTAATAATATGAAAGCGCTGCTAATGTCTTCGATACTAAGTGAATAATAGGTTTCTTTGTTGCTACATTTCTCTGCAGGCATATCATTCTGTTTCAATTTTTCGTATATACCATTATCTACCAATCTGCTAATTCTGCGTGAAAAAAATTAAAATTTAATTTAATTACATGTCATTTACATGTCATTTTTCATTATATTTTTAATAAGTGATTTTCTAACTTATTAGAACTTTTTTTTCACATTTTTAGATAGATAAACAAAGTTTTACAAAATTAATTATTAATATTAAACAAAACCTGTTCAACAATAATAATTAAATTATCATATCCCACCTTTTATTTTGCCTTTTATTTAAAACTAACGTTTCTACTCTATAGGCCATTCTCAGGTTTAGCGAGCGAATTGAAACCTCAACGTTCCAAAAACTAAATTCAAATTCATAAAGCATACAATGGAGAAAATAAGAAAATAACATAAAATAATATATACATTAGTTTATAATTTCATGTTTCATTAAAATGCATTCTGATGGTAAATTGATGAAACACGCAATTATAAACTTCCCCCACAATATTGTTCGGCTTGCATGTTCGGACTTGTCGCGCAGAATCAACATATAGCTACAATTTATTTTGTGTTATTTATTTCTGTGTTTGTTTTATCTACGGAGACTCGAGAGACTCTACTACCGTGTTTCCCCGAAAATAAGACAGTGTCTTATATTAATTTTTGCTCTGAAAAGTGCGCTAGGTCTTATTTTCAGGGAATGTCTTATTTTTTCCAGGAAGAAGAATTCACATTTATTTTTGAACAAAAATATTCCCAAGTCGAACTTAGACGAGAGTGGCGTATATCCGGTGTGTCGAACTGTTGCCTTTCTATAGCATCAACATCGGACCGATGACTAATTAGTGCTTACTGAACCGTAGCACTATGCAAATGTAATGTGGCGTGTTTCCCGGCCGACCAATTAGCCATCACCAGCCGTAACATTATGCAAATCTGTGATTCTCAAGCCATAGTCTTATGCAAATCATGCCGTGTGGCGTAATTTACTGCTGACCAATCAGCTGTACTTTCAAAAAGCCAACGGCCACTTTCAACCATCTGTCGATGACCGTTAGGACTAAAAAAAAACTTCGCTAGGTCTTACTTTCAGGGGAGGTCTTATATTTCGCAATTCAGCAAAATCTGTGCTAGGTCTTATTTTCTGCGGATGTCTTATTTTCGGAGAAACACGGTATGTCATCCAAACGAAGTAGAACTGATTCTTCTGCATCAGACAAGAAAAGAAAAACTTTATCTTTGGAATGTAAAGTTAACATTATTAAAGACTTTGATACAAAAATAAAAATTTGTAAATTAGCAAAGAAGTTTGATCTACCGGAATCAACTGTCAGAACAATTATAAGAGATAAAGAAAAAATTCACGAAGCTGTAAAAATGCACAATTTTTAAATTCAAGCATCGTTCGTAAACGTCACGATATTATCCCTGAGATGGAAACAATGTTAAAATTATGGCGTGATAATCAAGTAAATGTGAAAAATTGTATAATAATATAATTTGTTATAGGCTACACATGTATTATTTAAGATTTTATTAATCATTTTTTTCTAAATTATTGTTTTCTTTAGTCTTCGGCCCCAATTAAAAATTATTTGTATGTATTTATATGCGAAATTATACCCCGACTTACGCGAATTCGACTTACGCGGTTATCGCTCGGTCCCACCTATCGCGTAAGTTCGGGGTATTNAGAAAAGCCAATAGCTTTTAATTTTTTTAAATCCAGACAAAATCAGTAACAGAAAATTTAAGTAAATTGTTAAACATCCTTACATATAGAAAATATTTTCACGTAGATTTCTACTTTCACGGCTGTAATATATAAAAAAAGGGAAGTGTGTGTGTGTGTTTTGAGTGTGAACAGAATTTTTTTCACCACTTTGAAACTTAATAACTCCTGTAGTCTACTTTGTGTCGAAATTTCCCGAAATTCCATGGATTGATTATTCGGAAAATTGATACTGTTAAATTATGGTAGTGAAAGGTCAATACATTATTATTTATTATACAGTATACACTATATTATTACAATATTATATAAAACCCATCCGTATTCTCAAAATTAAGCTTTCTACCATTTTATAATACTTAAAAATATATAAAAAATTTTTAATAAAATATAATAACAGATGCAATGAAAATAATATCTGTGTGAGCATTATCAATTCTTTGTTGACATTAAATTTCTTA